CTTTGTTCCCCTTTTCTTGGAGTCTCTCTGTTTATCTGCCCAACTCTCACCTGTCCATCTGTCTATTTCTTTACCCACTCATTCTTCTGACTTGTTCCAAAAAGCATTTCAGGCAGCTTACAGAAGAACAGATACCAAATAAACAGGTGAGAAAATGGGGTCAAGTTCAGACAGTGAGGCTAGGAGGCGAGCCTGTGTGAGGGTTGCACATGTGAGAGACACGCCTCTGCCCTGTGACTTACAAGATTGAAAGCAAGTGTGTGCCTGAGGCTCCCAGCAGACACAGGGAAGCAGGTTTTGTGGGAGATGCTTACTGGCTGTGAAATAAATAAGTGGCTGAGGAGAAACCCAGCCTTTTCAGCTACTAAGGCTTAGGAGAATATTTTGAGTGTCTTCCAAAATCAGAGTATTTCATCTTTTCTTTTGTCAGAGTTCTATGTATAGTTGGTTACATTCTATACCTGGAAATTTCTCCAAAACTGCTTCCCATGTGAGTCTCATGGCTCGGGAATGGGGTGGTTCTGCTCACTGACGGGTGTTGGCTAGAAACAGAAAATGACAGCTTCAAAGAAGCCTGGGATTTGTCAGTTATGTTTTGTCAGTGCTGTAGAGTTCAGAAAATGCTTTCACTGTTTCTCTCCATCTGAGGCACCAGCGTGCTCTCTTACCAGAATCAGGAGCTCAGGGTCATGGGATGGTGGGGGCTGACTGCACTGCCGTCAAGACAGCTGAGCCAGTCACTGCAGGCGTGTTGATTTTACGTAGTGCATTTTATGTTCTTTAATAGAAGATTTCAAAAGGGAGTTAATTAACTGAGTTGATTAACATTTAATAAATATGACGCTTTGTTGAAAAGACAGTTATAGGCAGAACATAAGCTTTGAAGGCTTTAAAAATGGTTTCATTACTGAAATTTCAGTAGGGAAGATTCACAGTTTATCTTATTTGTGCCTCTCTTTTAAACTAAAAAGGAAACAAATCAAAAAAGGCAGAGGATGATTTCTGTTCTTCCTCTCCGCTTTCAGGTGCCCTCACCTCCCGTGGCATCCATCCAGACACCAGCACTGACACTGGCCGTGCTCAGAACTGCCTCAGCCCTGAAAACACAAATGACAACTAGAAGGGGGCCATGCCCTGTGACAGCAGGTGCTCTCACTTTGTGGGTCCTTATGTAACTTCCGGTGTTATTCAGGATCGCCCGTTCTACACTGTGTGGCGCTGCTGCGGTGTCTCCTAGTTACTTGTTTCTGTAAATACTGGAGTATTATTCTCCAATATGTTGTACTGCACACCTAAAATTCCTTTTCTCAGATGAAAAATAATGTGTATTTAATATAAGTCTGAAAAAAGGGACAAAAGAGGCTATCCTGGTCCCTCTACTCAGAGATAATAATTAACACTTTAACATCTATTTTCTGTTCTTTTCGTCAGTGTGTATCATCTGTCATAAAAACCAGTGAGCACTCTGTGCCTGTTTACCGTGTGGAGACCTCCATTTTCCATTCGGCTTATTGAAAGTTTTTCTACAATATTATATCTACCATGGCGTGATTTTTTAATTACCAGTATAGCATTCTGTCTTGTGGAGGCATCGTCCATTATATTTCAGACTTAAATAAACTTAAAAGTTTAAACTTAAAAGTTCCAAGTATACTTAACTGAAATACTGAAAAGAGAACTGCGGTGGTACTGAAAGACTCCTACCTCCCTTCCCCTTATTTCCTGAGAGTAAAAGCTGTTGACAATGTGGTGTATATATTTCATGACCTTTATGCCTATGATATATATATATATATATATATATATATATATATACACACACACGTATATGAGAAATCTATGTATATGTGTCCGTATATATCCTTTATTGAAAAATGAGGCCATAGTTTATGTTTTCTGCAGCACGCTTTATTCACTCAGGGGTGTGTCATAGACGTCCTCCCAATCCAGACTCACCTGGTCCTTTCAGATATAGTGGAGGTGTCTACCGATGTGCAGGTGTGGTCTCTTGTGCAAGGACACACTTGGTGGGAGAGTGCTGTGGACAAGGCCCTGGGTCACGGGGAAATGCCAGCCCTCTCAGTGCCCACAGCTCGCCATGATTTACCGCATCATTGTCTTGATGGTGGACACATAAGTTTTCTCCATTTTCCACTGTCAGAAAGGATGTTTGGCATCCTTCTTGTACAGACATTCCTATGATCTTGTATGAGTATTCCTTTAGTTAAGTCTTCTGGAAATTTAGTCCCTGGATGTGATATTTACATTCATCACAGGCTCCTTTCAAGTGACTCTAGAAATTCCTTCTCCAGTGGGGAATGAAAAGATGTAGAATAACTTATGTAACCAATTCTCTATTGCTGGATATGATTTCACTTCAGCTTTTCTTCCCACCATTGTGAACAGTGCTGTGTAAATGCTCTGATGAGTACATCTTTTTGAATTGATTTATTTTCTAAATGAAACGATTCCTAAAAGTGGAATTGAGTCTGTGTGTACACACATTTTTCTGAGTTTACATATCCATTGACATGTCGTCCTCCAAAAAGGTTGCTCACAATTTGTTCTCTCACAGATGGACACTAGCTAGAATATCTTTTAAAAATATTTGCCAATATAATGAGCAAAATTGCTTTTTCATTGTTTTAGTTTGCACTTGATGACCAGTGAGGTATTGAGCATTTGTCACTCATTAGTCATCTGACTTTTAAAAAGTGAATGATCCCTTTTGTCCTTTGCACACATTTAAGTGAGGGAGCTTCTTGTTGCTTTGTGACAGCTCTTTGTATGTTATGAACATTAACCCCTTGTCTTCATCAACATGTATCAGAGAGCTTTTCCTTGTCATTTCTTGCCTTTCATTTTGTTCAGTAGGTTAATTTTTGTTGTGGCCCAAACTATTCTTAAGATAGTAAATGTCTTCTTTTTGGGTTTTATGTTTCGTATTATTCTTAGAAATACTTTCTTATAATGGTATAAATCTCTTCTGTAGATTTTTTTAATCTCTAAGATGGAGATGAGAATGGTACTTGTTATCGTGAGGAGAAGTTGAATTAATATGAGCAAAGAGTTGCATTTGCTCTCATTTCTACTTTTTAATATTTACATCAGTATCTGTAATTTTTCTTGTGGTCATTATGACTGGAATAGAATTTCTTCTTTCCAGGGGATTCTCTGATTGTCCCAAGACAATTATTGAATTCATACTTTGCCCTTTGATTTGAAATCCCACATGTGCAAAGTACTTATATACACTAGAGTCTCTTTTTGAGCTCACGGTTTTTTTCTGTCAATCTTACTTTCTTACTCCAGCGCTATATCTTACATATTGTAAAAACTTATTGAATATCTGACAGTGCGATTTTTTTGGATTCTTTTTTCCATCTCAAATTTTCTTTGCTAGTATTATGACATCATTATTCCTGAAGAATTCTAAAATACTTTTTTCAAGTTAAAAAAAAACCGATAAGGGTTTTCATGGGATTTTTTAGTAAGTTTTGAATTATGTTTAGGAGAACTTACATCTCTACAAAATTGCTTTCCTCTATACAATATGTTGATGTCTCTACATTCACACCTCTTACATTACTCCTCAGTACAGTCCTGTAGTTTCTGCATGTACAACATGGGCATTGTTTTTTTTTGAGTTTATTCCAGATTATTGTTGATGTTTTTGTTAATTTTGTAAGTGAGAATTTTTTGCTATTATATTTTTTAACTGTTTAAGCTGACAACTAGGATGGCAGATTCGGTTTGTAAATACTCACTTTGTAACTTGTCATTTAAATTTGTAAGTATTAAGTACTTGTTCCAGAATCCTTTCTTTTCTGTTTTTAAAAATGTGTTTCCAAGATTCTCAAAATGGTCATAGCTAAGTAGTATAAGTAGGGAGACTTGTGGAGAGAGGTAGTGTGGCTCATGTACAAACTGTGAGCACTTTCATGGCTGCCTTTAGGCTGAAGAAGTTGCAGAAGAGCCAAGGTTAGACCGGGGGTGGCTTTGTATGCACTTGAAAGCCAGCTTTCCAGCCTGTATGTTGAAGTCTGGTGGGCGAGGCAGGTAGATGATCAAGGTTTGATGGAGGTCATTGGCTGCACAGAGCGCTGTGTCTGTGAGAACTGGTGACCATTACCATGGGAAATGCTTGGTGCCAGGAACACTGCAGGGGAGCTGGGAAGCCTGTGTGTTAAGGATTTTCCAGTCCTGGGAGTGGGAAGATCAGACTCTGCATTCAGATCTGAGTTTGAATTCATCCTCTCTTGTTTACTGGTCCTCTGACTTTTGTCAAGTTATATACCCTCTTTGAACTGTTTTCTTGTCTCTCAAAATAGGAGAATTACGGCCTGCTGCTAGAGTGTTTGATCAGGGTAAATGATTTGTGTCTATAAGATGCCACGTACAGTCACAAGGTCAGAGAGAAATGGGCTACCGCCTCTTCTTCTGCAACTCAGTGCTTGACAAGTCATGGGGGAAAGCCAGTCCCTAATATGTGTGTGATGCAAGTAGGAACAAAATTGATGTCTTGCCTTTCCCTAGCAGTATATTTACTCCTTTGTTTCATTTACTTCTTTCCTCCTTTCCTTTCCACTCCTCCAACAAATGAGCCTGAGACTCTCTCAGAACAGTAGATTCAAATTACTTTAAAGGTTGGCTTATCCTCATGAAACGACAGTAACATTAAAAAAAATTCTATACACATCCCAGAATTCATTATATTTGATTTACACACACACACGCACACGCACACACACACACAAACACACACGCGCGCACACACACACACACACACATAATCAGCCTACCTCCCACCTGCAGAGGGAGAAGGAACACTTTTTCTGAGTTTTCATTCACTGAGCATAAGAGCAATGCTCTTAGGCAGACTTTCACCAGGCTTCGTGCATGGTGTTTTTAATTGGATTTCTGCTTTGTGGCCATAGATATATTCTCATAATTGAAGAGAGGAAGTGGAGACGTAGACATTCTGCTGAGATATTTGTGTCATCATATTTGAGTTGGAAAAGACTTAAGAGAGAATAGAGTCGTAACTTTTTATGGGTGAGAATCCATGATGGTGTTACTTGGACAAGAACCTGGGTCTCCTGCCATCGTGTCCACGCGGGGGAAGGGGCAACTGGGCGGGGGATGGCAGGGATCCTTCTTGCTTGAGTTCCAGGGTCTTGCTAGATTTCATTGCTCAGCTGCCTTTAGTTTATGTCCATGTGGCCTCTCATGGGAAGGTCACTCTGTCCTGATAGATTGAGTTTCTAATCAGCAAAAAGCTCTGGACCCACTTATATTTCCCAGAGTTTTCTGCTGACCTGCTGACACTTTATATAAATGAGACCTAAGAAACTACTGAATATAAAATCCTTATTGTTATCATTTGCCCTTGAGTCCCAAAGGAATGGGATGCTGTCTCAGGCGGTCTAAGGCTAGTTCTGAACAAAGGGTGATAGGCTATGCTGCTGGACCCTCCACAGTCGAATGGTATTTCCACCTTAATATTTAGAATCAGGTAGATGAGTTCAAATCTTGCCTTTACCAGTTATTAGCTTTGTGACCTTGGGGAAGAAACTGTACTTTTTTGTGTCCAATTTTCTTTGTAAATAAGTTCAGTATTTATTTTAAGGTTTTTGTTTTAGAATTGAATGTGATAATTCCCTCATTTATACCTAAAATACTGATCACGTGGTTCTATTCTGGTGCCTTGGTAGTTGATTACTAAGGGACTCGGCAGTGAGAATGGGGTGGGGGACCCCTGGATAATAAAAGACTGGATGTGCAGTGGAATTTTAGTAAGTATCCATTCCTTTCCTAATTTGCATTGATTGTGTATATATCTTTATAGTAATATAGGAACAATTTTTATTGAAATTTAAATATCTTTGTAGTATTTACAATATGTAGCTATAACAAAAATACGTGAAATAAAATGATTTGACTTTTATTTTCATTTCAATAAGCAAAACAAAATAACATAGAAAAGAAAAAAATTCTGAAGGAGTAGAAATAATCTTATTTCCGTGGAATCAATTCCCTATGATAGGTTTTTTGGTTGTGTGGTTAAACAGCATATAAAATTGATAGGTTGTGACATACTGGAAATAAGGAAACAGTGGAGACATAGTACCTCCAATGCAGTCATTTTGTTACCAAGTCCAAACTCATTCTGCTTGCTGCATGGCAGGCCAATAAATTGGGAGATGAGGTGTTGGAGCAAGGAATAGTGACTTTATTTGAAAGGCTGGCAGACCCAGAAGATGGCATACTGATATCCTGGAGAACCCTCTTCCCCATGTCAGAATTCAGTCTCCTTTTATAATAAAAAGAGGTGGGTGTGTGGTTGGTTGTTGCAAACTTCTTGCTGTACGAATTGTTTGTCCTTGGAATCCTTTGTTCTTGCAGCTGTCCATGTGGGTCAAATCATGTTTCCCCTGTAAAACCTTCAAAAAAACACAAAGGTTTTTCTCTATTTTGCAACTTGCCATCTCTACATAAGTGCAGAAGAGATAACATCCTTAAAGATTAGAGCCCAGAGAATAGGCTCTCCTGGATATTTCAGGCTAAAGGCAACTTTTTTTACAAAAGGTGCAGAGATATCAAGTCTGAGCCTAGAAAACAGGGCACAGGTTTAAAGCCAAAGGAACACATCCAACATGGAGTCAAATTTGTTCTTTTCTATTACAATTTATTTTTCCACCTCATAAATAGTTTTAGTAAGAAACATGAGCAATTTTTTTTTTTTTTTTTTGCTTCTCAATAACGGATAAGTGGGCCAACTATAGTTATGTGAGCAGGGATTCTGTGCGTGCCTTGGGGTCACAGCAAACTCTTGTTGGGGGTGGCTGACCCTGCAAAATGTCTGATGCCCCGTGACTGTTGGCGAGGGTCCCCCTAGCCAGGGGCTCTCTTCAGGAACCACCATATGGGCATTGACCTCTGGAGAACTTTTTCAGCTGCAGGAAACTTTTTCAGATACTGTGATGGAAAAATCACTCCAGTTGGGGATAATCAGGGAATACAGGAAGAGGAAAAGTGCTTGGAGTAGAGTGGAAGAGGACAGAAGATCAGGGAGCCTGGGGGCCTGGCAGCGGGTCCTCGGGAGAGAGAGGAGCAGAGATGGGGAGGGTACCAGCTCCTGCACTTGTCCCCGCACCCAAGCTACACAGCTTTTAATTGGCCCAAGACTCTCTCCTGTCTGGATGTCACCCTGGGCAGAACCTTGAGAATCGAAGGTAAGGGGTGGGCGGCACTCACCTAGGGGGTCACTGAGGACTTTGATCAAGTCCACAGTGTCTTTTCTGGTCATGTGTCTTCACTTGTTCTTTATCTTAGGATCTGAGAAGCAGGAGCAAGGAACTCAGGGAGAGAACCAGGAAGACTTCTGACTGTGTTAAGAGACGACAGTCACAGCGACACGGGGAGTGAAGACACTTGCAGCAAAGTAAAATGACTTCACAACTGTTGCATCAGAGCTGCAGGTGTGAGAGAGCCTAAGCCTGTCTCAGAGTTCAGGGGACAAGGGGAAAGGAATGGTAAAATTAACACTGACAATTGAAATTTTGTTTAATAGCCTGCTACTGTTGTTTGTATCACTTGAATGAATGCAGGCATATTTCTGTGGGCATTTATAGGTTCACACAAAACCACCAGCTCCTCTTGCCCCCATCGGGGATGGGCTTTCTCTAGCACAGTGCCCTTCGTGATTGGGTGGGCCACACTGCTGGTCCTCGCCTGGGGCCGGGATGCTGCAGGGCACTGAGTCCCCGAGGCACGGCCTGAGAGATACGACAGGAACACCGCTGCTCTTTACTGAGGGCCTCCTTTTCCCCCTGCAGTGTAAGAATGCCGGTGACTGAGTTAGAAGCACGCTTCGAAGCTGTCTGTGTCCTTGCCATTCAGAAGCAGAGCCTGAAAGCTTCCGAATTTCTCCAGAATTCGGTTTACTTTCACCTTCGACAGTTGAGTGTATGTCCTTTTACATGTGGAGGAATTACTGCAGTTTTCCTGGAACTTACTCACCACTAGTCCATCTGATTTGTCTGTGCTAGGATTCAGTATGGCCTGCTAAAAATTCTGGAGTCAGATCTTGAAACCCAGATGAAGAGGATTAATTAATTTATTTCTTTATATGATAGTATTTTACTTTCAAAATTCAGAGTTTTCAGTTCTTTGAGGAATTATTTCGGGGGTTGGAGAAACAACTTTGCTCTTACCATCTTTGTGACCTGTTGCTATATGCCTCTCACCTGTCTTCTGTCACTTGTGAGGCAGTTCCATTTGTGACCCTGTCCAGGTTGTTCATGTTATAAAACATAAAGTCTGTTTTACTCTGAAGACATTCCACAAATACTACTTAAATCTGGGTGTGGGTTTAAGAAGACAGAATCATTAGAACATATACTTGCAGGTTGCTAGTGCAAAATCCCCTAATCAATAGTCTAGCTTAACATCTAAAATCTTTCTAATCTACCTTGGATTTGTATGGATAAGTGAAGCAGTTTGCTAAGAACAAAAGACCAGGTTTAGAATACAGGCTGGTGTAGCTCAGCAGGTCATCCTGAGCCAGCGCTGTGACAGAGGGCGGGGCCTTGGGGAAAGGGGAGGGTCAAGGGGGAGGGGGGTCCTACCCTCCCTGAGCTGACACTTTCATGGCAAACACCTTCACCAGGTGAAGAATTTGGAGTTTCTTCTAAGAAGAGTGGGTCTGAAAAGTCCTAAAAGCGCGGGAGTGACACAATCCCATTTGTCTCAAGTAAGGGAGAACGGCTGTGGGGCCACTTGGGAGACTCGTGAGTCCAGGTGGGCAGTGTTGGTGGCTTCACTTGAGCCGTGGGGCGGTCAGTGGGTAAAAGCGAACAGATTTTAGGCATGTTTAGATGGTAAAAAGGACAGGATGAATGCTGTCTGTGAAGGTAGGATGAAGTAAGGCACAGGTTTCTGGGTGGATTCATGAGGTAAATGATGGTCCTGCTTTTCTCTGTGGAGGGAAAGCTACAGAGGGAGCTCTGGGGGAAAACTGATGAGTTCAGCTGTGGGTAAAGTGAAAAGCTGTTAGATGTGTGGTCTGGGAGCTCTGGTGAGAGCCAGTAGTGAGTAGGGGGGAGGGGAGAGGGACCTTCAAATCATTTTTTCTTGTGAACGTACAAATAAGTATGAGTAATGACACACTTAACACCTCTATATTCTGGATTAAAACCCAGTAACATT